GGTGCTGAGTCATACTTTGTTCAAAGCCAGAAGCTAGCCAAGATTTTTTTTTTAACATTGGAATGCTTAATGTCATCCCTTAAGCACTCTAAGTTTCTACTGACTGAGCTGATTCTATTAATTAAGCTATCACCACACAAATGTAAAATGCAATAACGCTGACAGGGCTGGAGAAGTGTGTTTTGAAGTTGTCAAGGTGCAGACCTTACCTAGCTTAAGATCCCTGTGCAGGATTTCCTGTTCATGAAGATACTTGAGCCCTGACACAATTTGCCTGAGGTAGTATCGCACTTCTGGTTCTGTCAATACCTTCCTTGCTTTTAAGATGTGAGCCATTGACTACAGAGGAAAAAAACAAAAGCAGAAATGTCACTGAACGTTCATGCACACAATTCATCTTAGGCAAAAGTAAATCAATGCATGGAAAAGTGACAACTTAAAGAAACCACAAAAAATACTTTTCACTTATCACACATTTAAACTAGTTGCAGATTCCAGGTAAGTAAATACTGGATTTCTCCCAGTTGATGCTCACCCTTCTACTGCAGTACTCCAGAAGAATGTAAATATTCTCTCTGTCTTCAAAGTAGTGGTAAAACTGCACAACATGTCTATGATTAAGCATTCTGTGCAGCTCAATCTCTTTATCAATCTGAAGAGACAAAAGGGAAAAAATGTTTTTAGCTTTGCATGTACAAGGTTGAGCAGACAGCTCTATCAGAATCGTTTCAAGAAAAGGGCTGGGCAAACCAGCACACAAAGAGTTTTAGGAGAGGTGAGGGAAAAAAAAAATCATGCACACACACCTTTTCCCTTTGATGAGGTTTTGCTACTCTACTGTGAGGAATGATTTTTGCAGCATAAACTTTATTTGTTGTCAAATCTGTCATCTCATAACACTTTGCGAATCCACCCTAGAGAGACACGAGAAAAAGGCAATTATCGCAGGTATGAAAGAAGTCCCACACTTAGTCATTCACCAGCTCATGTATTAGTCAAGGAGCACAACTTCCTTCGCACAGGACAATTTAGCAAAAGACGGGTTTTAGATTCATCGCCCAACTGAAGGCTCGCATTGCAGCTCCCCCCCGCCCCGCATACGACATCAAAGTCATTTCTGCAGAAAAACATCGAAGTCATTTCTACAGGCTTGCCCGAGCTGAAGGCACAATTCCGCTTGTATGAAGGGGTAGAGATGAATCGGGGACAAGGAGGGTGCTCGGACCCAGTGTATCTGCACCGGGGCAGTGCAGCGGCACATCGGACTGGGGGCAAGTTGGGGAGCGGCGGTGGGCGCACTCCAGCACCCCCGGAGGAAAGCAACGTCCACCGCTCGCACTGCGTTCCCCCGCACATCGGCCGCCGCCCCGGCAGGATACAGGGCTCGGCGCACTCATTACCTTTCCGAGC